GAAGTTATACGATGAGCAGCAATATGGGGTTTGTTCCGCGGCGCCAAAGGCAAATTAAAAAATCCTTCAATATTTTTCAATTTCCTTCCGTGTTTTGACCCGCCTATCACTGATCCCCTCACCTCCGGCCTTTATCTCTCTGTGCTCTAGCCCTTGCGGCAGAGAGCCAGATCACGATGTTTATTATGGCGGGGATAGGATCTTAGCCAGCTCCGAAATAGACAAATAAGGGTGACATTATGCGGGTTCCACGCTGCTCCTTCTGTCTTCTTTCTCACTGCCGTCATTTTCGATCGCCAGCGGAATTTGCGTACCCGGCACCTTAAATTGGGTTGTAAATTATGCCCAGTTTTTGTGCTGATTGACGTCAATTGGCGGTGAACCTACATATATCAGTTCTCTGCGTCATCCTTATGTGCTGTCATTTTACCGGGGTCTTGAGAGCCGAAGTTGGCGATATTAAGTTCTTATAATTGCACACAGGGTCGAGTTTTTGTTGCCGGGGTCGGTTTTTCGACCTGAAGGTCGAGAGGGGGTCTAATGGGGTGTGGTCCGTGCTTCTTGAATGAGCGCTGTGAAAAGGGGTTTTGAGCATTTTTGAGGAAGTTGGGCTTATATCGATTTTGAGCGTACTTCTAGTGTAGTATGTGTCCCCATCGGTGGGTTACGCCCTCCCGGGCAAGTACAGAAGTGCCGGTAGGAAGGATGGGGAGGGTAGAGCTAGGAGTTAGGTGTTGTTGAAAGTAGGAGGCGGGAGGAAGCAAAATTCATCGCTTTCATGCTTCATCCAGATAGAAGTCTAATCAAAAAAAGTCCCCTCTATTGATTGATATTGATCGATGCTTGCTTCCAGAATGTTGCCAACTGATCAAATCATGTCTGACGACGGCCGCCGGTTCGCGTGCTTCGCTGACTGCCATACGACAGCATCCATGGGTCAATAAAAAGATGCCTGTACATACGGAGACGTTTGAAGCGGTACTGGATCGAACCCTGGGGCGAGCACAAGGTTTGAAGTGATCCAAGCAAAAAGTGTGACGTTTTATTGATTTATTGATTTCTAGTGCAAGAACGTTCACCGCGTACGCCAGCGGAAGAAGCTCGAGGTGCGGTCGAAGAGGATCGGCAGCTGAACGATGTGATCCTGACGATGGAGAAGATCGCAGCTGTCGCAGCAGAAAAGCCCTCAACTCCAGAATCAACGAAATCAGATGCCATCAGCAATTGCACGATGGTCACCGCTGCCAGTACAATCCATTCCGGCGATGAGGCTTCTACTTGTCACTTAGGTGAGGCTTATTCAGTCTTTCTTTGGGTTGAGCTGAGAGATAAAACCCCTAGCGATTGGGAATCAGTTGTGGTTGCGCCACGACTTTAGTCCTAATTTGGGATCGTTGAAGCATGCCAAGGAGGATTTTGCCTGGCCATTGTCCCTTGAGCGGCAGTACGTTGCAGATGGGCGCTTCTTATCCTACCGAATGAACCAGGCAATAATCATAAGTGGACGACAATCGAAGGACGGTGAAGTTTAGCTGTTCTGGGCAGGATTCGATCCTGGAACCATATCTGTGCTATCGTTATCTTCGACTCCTAGGCTTCCTCCGCCTTGATTTTTTCGAGTATTTCCAGAAAAAAGGGCCTAGAGATGGTGTAGGGATAAGTGGAGCCGCTTATCCTGATGGATATCCTAGATCGAATCTCGCTCAAGACAGTCAAGCTTCTCATCCATCAGGCATCTGTCACTTGGTAGCAGCGTCGTCTAGGAGGCTGAAATTTTGAATTGTACACTGGGTTGCTCTCTTCCAAGGTCAACCACCGCATTTGTACTTTCTGGAACATCAACGCCCTCCCCCATACCACCTCCCATCACAGGCCGGCAGGGTCCTCAAGTACGACCCCCTTTTTACTTCGGACGAGCACCTACCAGCATGACTGTTTCTGTAGTATTGAAGTTCGAATTCTGTGAACAATTGGCGCGGCCAACTCCGGCCACTTGCCGCCGGGTGGGAGGTTGGACGAGCGGCGGGGGCGGAGACAGCGTGAGGAGCAAGTGGGCAAAAGTCTGAGAAAAACCCACTCGGCGAGGTTTTCAGCTAAAACTCTTGCAAACCGTTCAAAACCGCTCCAAAACGGCTCTACCGAAAGAATACAGCGCCAGAACGGCTCTTACGAACTAACGACCTCTCCCTTTTCACAAAATACTACCCCCATCGAGCTTTGCTAAGAGATTTAATGTTGCCATAACACAATACGACTTTCCGCCTGGTTCGGAATTTGGTGCTAACTGACGCTGGCCTTGCTCCTTCATTGTAAAAGTTGAACCGCATTCAAATGTACGATTTTGAATGAAAGTAGAACGCATGGCGTATACTACTAGGTGATTGATCAGATTAGAATAAATTCCTCCAAGTCTCCAAGGGATAAAAGATGAAGCAGTCGACGTTGATCAATCCCTTTTTGGGATGCGGCACGCATTCTACTTCCATTTGTACATTCGTAGTGGCATTTGAATGCGATGTGGCCTATACAATGACTTGCGGGGGCCAGCCGATGTACAAGTCAAACTTTATCCTCCCAGACAAGTCTGGTACCAATTAAAAACCACAGAAGGCTGAACCAGTGACTTAGTTGGCCTGGAAGGGGCCCACCTTGGATTTGATCCCTGGATCTTTTGCGTGATATGCAGCGCCCCTTGCCACAACACCACTTGCGCGCTCTCAGCCCTTACACAGGAAAGGTATTAGTTTCGGAGTCAAGTCAATCTTTCCAGTTCCCCGAACCCGACTTCACTCTCGGTATGACAACATGTCGTCATCGTCGCTGGCTGACTATCTGTCTGTGACGAGTGTCGAGGCACATTGCCACGAGCGTGCGTCGATGCTTTCGGATTGTGGTTCTGAGGCCACGACAGCGACCACTAACGTCTACTATTCCACCTATGATATCAACGAGGAGGAAGAAATGGAAAGGTACGCATGGTGAGATCATACCCTTATCACAATTGATTATTCTTATCACCATTTACCAGTTGAATCCTTGACCTGTAATTTTTTCAGCTCGGTCTCGTCGTCGGTCTCGAAGGTGCCGGTGAAGAGCGTGTCCGCGTACAATTTGGCCGCTCGTTCCCGAAAACGTTCGCTCGTGTTCAAGTCATTTGACCGTGAACTGGACACCGTACACGAACACATCACCCCCGAACACATACCACACGTGATGACGTCATCGACGGATTCAGAAGACCAGACGATGATCGAGGAATCCACCGCGAACACCACGCCGAAGCACGACGTCGACAACAACAACACCACCACACTTCACTTCTCCAGACATCGACCCCTACAGGTCGTGTCAGACATGTCGTCGTTGGCGATTTTTCGAGCCACTCCACGACACTCGCTGACGACCGTGGTGTAGCGATCGATATTTTCGATCGATACACACCATAAGTGTTCTTCAAGCAGATACGGTGTCTCTTATTGCTCTGCCGATGACGTCACACCAACGGATGACGTCAACGTGAACAAATTTTGTGACGAGTCTTTGATGCACGGGGTACTCCACGCACATTTATTGCACTATCCACGTGAAGTTGTTGCAGTTATTTGGCACCGTGCCTAAAATGATGACGTCATTATGACGATATTACGTCATTGTGACGATATTTCACAAATCAGGACAAGTTCCGGGTTGCGTCTGTGCGTCGCCGGCGATCATAATACCTTTCCGCAGTGCAACCGCGCGCTCGCACTTCGAATCCTCTTCGACTCTTCGGGAGATAAGGATTACGTCCCAAGTTTCCCTTGTGATGGCCCGGCCAAACCAACTCTAATTACTTATATACATACATAATTTAGGTGTTGCCAGTAGAAATATGTAGTTGGAGAATATAGTTCCTCGTACATATACAAACGAGCTCAGCCTGATTGTATGCACTCTCAACAAACCCTCGTGCAGCGCAAAACAAAACAGTCCCACACCATACTATAAATAAATACAAATGGAACTAATAATCACATTCACTCTCAACAAGTTTTGACTTGTTATTTACGAGTATATTGATTGATATATTGATTGATCGGTTCATTGATTGGTGCCATTTGCGTGTTGCTCGCGTAAGTGTCGCAAGCACCACTACACTACTATTTTCGCACCGGTATGTTTCCCATGTTGAAGCTCTTATTGTTGTTACCAAATGTACATGTAGAATATACTGTACACAAAAGTGACAATATATACAAATAAATATGATTCTTATCAGTTATCGATTTTATCGACAGTGCTTATCGATTACATACCTGTTTAGATCATTTCACCAATCGAGGTGGTCTTTATTTCCCGCGGCGAAACCTGTCGTAATTACGGACCAGCGAATCACCTGCAGATGCATCCCGGCCGACAGGCTCCGATATTGATGTTTCCGAGGCCATCGTTACCGCGCAACTTTTATGTCCTCAGTGCGGCCATGCGCCGACCCCGGGAACGAAGTGTAAGTAAAAATGATAAAACAGTAATAGAAGGTAAATTTCCTGGCGCTGGGGAACCTGTGCAGAATGCACACCGCATCTGACGACTATTCGAAATCTCAAATGACTTTCAATAGCTACCGCTTCTGCAATAACTCACTTCTCTACTCCGCTTCCCACCACTTGCCATGGGATATAGATCTGACCGTGTCCGCTAATATCCCCCTACTCATCTTATATTACGCTCTTACCCTGGTATATCTCCTTCGGAATCCACTAATTCACTAATATTTTCTGATTGCGCCAAACAATCTGTACAAAGATGAACCCACAGAATCTTTTTGGTCTGTGCGGAATCCGATCCATGGTGACTGTGCAGACGCTAACTGCACTCACCAGCCTCCAGCCTCGTGTGTCTCATATGTATGAAAATTTGCGGAAAAAAAAACGATGAAACATCTTTATTTTCCGTGCAAGTATGTGGAAAAATCAATAGCTATGGTTTCCTTTAGGGTTGGTGAGCTTGAGCCGTATGCAGTATTCTGAATTCCTCCGCTGGCGTCCTCGCCGTTGGTCGGCCGAACTAGACGATATAACGTCGTAGCGCGTTCACCAAATCAATGATGTTATCTTGTGGTGATAAGGCAGATGACCAGCGTCGACGATTCAGTAAATGCTTGGCAGTTGCATCATCTGTAAATAGTAACATTTTATCAAATCAGGAGAAGTAACCCGGCAAATTATGTCAAAGACTGCCTCGCACCAAACGTCGTTACCGTAAAATGGGTATTGAATTACGCGCAAAATAATCCGATTAACACTTCTCGATATACGCTTTGAGTTAGCGCTGGAGCTCGCGAAAGCACCTCAAACGAACTGCATTCCAATGCGCTGGTTCTCATGCTTTTTCTATGAAAAACAGTAACATAATTGTAAAAAAAGAAGCAGATAACGTGCAAAGCATTGCATATCGCTAATCAATAACTCAAGATCACACAGGCTCAAGCTTCAACAGGCAGCAAAGCAAAGGAAGCAAGCCAACTCCAGCAATTAAACTTAAAGCCATTCTTAAATGAATACTTACCTCAGTATCCAAAGAAAGCATCACGGCTTTTTGTAGAGCGAAACAGGAGCAGAACTAACAGGGTTTCTGTAGGCAGCATTGACGCGGGAATTGAAAACTGGTGTCGTATTGAGAGTGGGTGGAAATGGTGTCAATAGCGGTGGACGGGTCCGCGAGGAGGATTAATTCTTTGACGCGAGAGGAGGCTAGATGAGAGAGCATAGGGGAAGTGAGAGACGCAGACGTCTCGCTGTTCTAGACCGCCATATCGGAAACGCTAGCAGCAGCGGCATTCAAGGGGATAACAGGTTTTAACCCTCTTGGTGCTCGCTTTCGTGCCACATGAACGGTGCGTCCAAACTTATCCTATTCACGAAAAAGATTTTAGGCAGGGATCGAGGTTTCTGGTCAAAGTTAGGCTTCTGCCGAGAAAATAGCAGAGGCACGCAAGCGGAAAGCACGTGCACAACTTTCGGGATGATTTGACAAGGCCGAGGCGCTAAGGCCCTAGGATGCAGCATTAGCCCCCCCGCCCAACTCCATTGACCCGCCCACAAATCAGTGCTATTACGATGCGCCGCTACCGGGAAGAGGGACTTTTTTCGTGATTGTCGTCAGTTTTATCCCCTTTATTTCGTCACTGACCTGACATCTCGCATCTCCACTGTCTCTTATAAGCGTAAAAAGCATCACTTTGATCGCGGACTTGGGCTTTAAGATGAGATTATTCTCCATAAATGGACGTATCTACACGTCAAAGCCCCGCCCTTTAAGATTCGATCGCAAGCAGATGAGGCTAACTTTGCGTTACTCTTATGGTGGGTGGATAGGGGGGGGGGGATATTGGTGATGTCCATTCCCCGAAGCTTAGCGAGCAACTTAAGGTGGATTAAGGCTGTACTCGCCATGGTTGGCGTTCCTCAGAAAAAGCGCAAACGAGCATAAAGCGATAGGCGAATGCCCCTTGAATCTATTACACTTCCATGAGTCCTTTGATTCCTCAAAAGGATACCTCTAACTTCA